GACTTGACGTCCCCGCAGAAGCTGGCCGCTGCACCAGGAAGCGATGAAATAACATGGTTGCGGCTATATTGCAAGTACTGGGCAATGTCGTCGATGTATGAACGAATTGGGACCATGGGTATGCGTGTGTTCGCTCGCTCAAGCATGCAGTGCAAGTACGCCTTGACCCATGGAACCGATTGAGGGCAACCCGCCCAAATCGAGCGACCCGTTGGGATGATGTACGAGACAGCCCCTTCCACCTCGACGACCCTAGGAGTTGTATGCACCACAATGCCGAACACACAACAGATGCACTGGATAGTCTACCTTAAGAGCCAGTTGGACCAGCAACGCTGGAACCACCGAGTCAAAGAATTTCTCCATGTCCCAGTGAAGGGAGGCAAGCTCGAAACTGAGCGTGCCCGCGACCTCGTGACACGGCTCGCGAATGGAGCGCCGCCTGCCACGCCGAGGAGCTCTGCACGGCACGATCCCAGAAATCCGTGTGCGCAACAGTCCACTCATGAATGTGATCACCACGCATGTCCGCATACATGCGGTAGAGAGTAGAACACTTCGAAACAGCACGCTCGTCCTGCACCCACTTCGGAGGGAGGGCCATGATGTTCAGACAGCACTGCCGTGGAAAGGCGAGGGCCTCTTCACAGGCCGTGAACGCAGCCAGACAATGCACAGCCTAGCCTGGAAGCCGCAGGACATCCAGCGGTGACCACTGATTTACCCCCACAGCTGTACTGCTAGAAAACAAGTAGCCGCTTGCAAGACGTCCCAGGCTTCGAAATCAGGGAGCTCCGTCAGCGAGACCTGGGCCAGGGCACGACGCTCGTTCAGCGTATCACTGAGGACCTGCAAGTGCTTCTCGGAGGGGACCCACTGCTTAGACCAGAAGGTGTGCCCGTACTGCATCATGTCCTGAGGGGCGTTTGGCGGATGCCGTCCAGCGCGAGGAAGTACTCGACCGCAGCTTTGGAATCACCCTTCAACCAATTGTGAACCGTTCTCGCCCCTCCCGGCAACGCCTCCTTCAGCCGCTTACGAATACTAGCCTCACTCGAAGCACGAACCTGGTTGACCGCCTGCTTACAGACCTCAGCGGGCTTATCGACTAGCCAGCGAACTGCATCAAGACCGACGGGAAGATCAGCGAATGCAGTCGCACAATCTTGCACCTCAGCGGGGGCCTGGCTCACGGTGGAATTCAACAATTTCTTAGCCTGTGCTGAGGAAGCCTTCCCACTCAGGACCTTCCAGTATCCGAACAAGCGGGAGTAGAGCATGGACCAGAAGCACAAGTGCGGAACATTGAAGGCCTGCTTGTTGGGGCCCCGACGCCTGAGGGCCCCCGAGGACCGTTGGCGAGGACCACCACGGCCCAAAACACGGTCCGAGTGCTCCAGGACAGCACATCTTTGGGAAACAAATATTATTTCCGCCGCCCGAGACCACAAAACATAATCTTCCGAAAGCTCGTCCGAAGCGTGGGAGAGGGTGTGGCAAAGTGACGCTTCCTTAAACATCAGGCGGAGGCTGCCAATCTTAGCCGTGCTCACAAGCCGTGTCCAAGTATTGCAGCCACACGTGATCGGGCCCAAAAGCATGAGGCAGCGCCGCCGCCCGAAACCTGCGCTGCACCTCCTGCCGGAGCACTTCTCCAGAACTGGTGACATGCAGGAACGCATGGGTCTTGAACGGGGAGTGCGCCACCGTGCAGACTGAAACATAGGGAGCCAGGACCCTGGAGCAAACTACGTAGTCTATCATAGTGCGGCCAACGTCACACGTGTATTCAACCCCAGCGGGAACACTCACGCGAGACTTCGTAAGCTCCAAAACCCCAGACTCAGCAAGCGACTCGGGACACATAGTGAAACCTCCATGCAAAAACCAAGGACACGCAGGGTATTAGTAAACTCAGCAATCTGCGGCAAACGGGCAAGATTTTCACCAGTCGCCCCGATGGAACACACCAGGTAAACGGCGCCCATAGCCACCGAAAGCCCATGAAGTTTGAACTCCAGGAATAGCCAGCAAGTCCGCGAGCCCACATTGACCACCTCAGATACGCCCGAGAGGAAAGGTTGACAAAAGACTCTTCTGACAGAACGCTGCCACTTCCCCGTGAGTCCCACCTCCTGGGGAATCGATAGCTGCCTGAACAAATGGGTTCCGACCCATCGCCCACCTTGGCCTCGACGACACCTTCGGGGCGAAAGGTGATATTCAGCAGTGACCACGGCGTCCATTGCTGAGGTACCCGTAGAGAGAAAGGCCTTCATGAGATCAGACCAGCTGGTAGCGTTACAGAATGGAACCTCCAGGCCCGCAGCTTTGTCGCGCCGCCTCTTCGGCAGGGGGCGCGACGGAGGCGGGCTAAACAGGATGCACTGGGGCTCCACCCCCTGCAGCCTGTTGAGGGACAGCCTGCAGCTGGGCAGCCGCCGCCTGACAGAGGGCGACGAAGGTGTGATTGGACTGCTCGCGCACCGCTTTCTTGGCACGCTTGGCGGCTCGATTCGCCGCGACCTTCGAGAGCAGTACTTTATACCGCTCCGCGGCCTGCGGGTCCAAGCCGTTATCGGCTGCGCGCTTGCGGAGGTCACGCAGCTCAGAAGGCTCATCACCAGGAAGACCAGGGATCCCCAGCTTCGCTGGCCGCCTCCGAGGCCACGCCGATCTCCACCCCGGCGGCGCGCTGCCGGAGGGCAACCTTGCGCACCTCGATGCACTGCTCCGGAGACAGATGAGAGCGCCCACGAAAACGTTGGAGATCAGGTTCAGAAATAGGGGAACAAAACGTGACATAAACATAAAAACTCGGAGGTCCGCGCGGATTTCTCGGATCGGCGCTGGACCCCCCTCCCTGGCGCGCGGAGCGCGCCAGGGGCGGCGCCGGAGGCGCCGCCGGGGGGCCCCAGCGCCGATCCGAGAAATCCGCGCGGACCTCCGAGTTTTTCTGTTTCTGTCATTTGTTGTTCCCCTAAGAAAGTTCATGGAGGTGGTCCTGAACCCACTGGAAGCCAACATTGCCCCACGCCGTGACTCCCAGAAGCGGCTCCGGAGGCGGGTTGCTGCACCGGCGGCACGCGCAGGCGCTGCGCCGCCCGGTACGTCCTTTTGGGCGTTGGCCTGGCGAAGCGCCTCGGCGGCCTCGGCGTGCCACTGCGGGGGCTCCGCGCGCAGCTGCTCCGCCTTGGCCGACGCCTCACGATGCCGAAGGACGGCCTCATGACGCTGCTGAACGCCAGACTGGGCCACCCGCTCCTCCCGGCTCGCCTTCTCAGTCGCCTGGGGCGGCTCCGTACGGTGGGCCTGGATCTGCTTCTCGATGTCATTGGCAGAAGCAGGTCGCGAGCTTCGGGCACAGGTGGTGGGGCCGCACCCTGGAGCTGTCCAAGGGCCGCCACTGCAAGCCAGCCGCGAATTGATCAGGCACTCCATTATCAGCAACATGAGGGATGTGGACAGCATCGCCAAGATTGCTGCCGCCGCAGACGCTGCACGTTCAGTTGCCGAAGTGGTCGGACTCCCAGAGGCCGCATGTCGAACAGACTGAGTAGGCTCCGCGGCGTCGCCCACCCTTCTTCTGCCCAGGCCACTGCTTGCCTGTGCCCCCTTCGCCCACGGCGTATGGGAGCGCCATGCCATGATGAGCACAAGGCTGAGAGGGTGCTCCTGCAGGAGCTCACAAAGCTTCTCTTGGCCTACGTCCAGCGCGCAGCCTAGACGAGGTTGCACAAACAGTCAGGGTATGTCCGCGTATTCGCCGCTAGTACGTAGTAACTAGCGGCCTCCAGTTTTGTCTCGGGGATTGCAGCCCCCAAGGCATCAGCCTTGATCCAAAATGGCTATGGGGAGGAGGAGGAGGAGGAGGAGGAGGAGGAGGAGGAGGAGGAGGAGGAGGAGGAGGAGGGGGAGGAGGGGGACAAGAGGGGGAGGAGGGGGGTGGAGGAGGAGGGGGAGGGGGAGGAGAGTAAGCACAAGAGACACCAGCGATGCCGCAACACCCCCTCCCCGCCAGATTGCCCCTCCTGATCGGTCTCTGGCCCCCGTCCGTGTGATTACCTGTTGTGCAAGTTCACGCGTCTGGTCACGGACTTCAGGGCACTCTCGAGCGAGAGCTCCGTTTTGCAGAGGAACCGCCCTCCACCCATGCACATGCTAAATCTGTTCAGGTTCCTGGTCTTCAGATTCCAGGAAGGCTTGAGCGATGGCCCGTTTCGAAAAGTAGCGACCTTCATCCCTCTGACAAGTCCAAGCTTGTAGGACGAGTGTGCGCGGCGCTGAGGCGAGATCCACATTGAAAACGTCCCCCACTCCATCTTGTAGGTATTGCAGAGTTTTAAGATGATTGTGCGGCGCCACGGCGAGACACACTGTAAACACAGCCCACTTTCATCCCCACACATGCTTCTTGTTTTTGTTAAACGACTGTGCGTGGGGGTCAGGCGAGATCCACATTGTAAAGCCGACATGTGCTTCGTCATGGTAGCTGTTGTAAGTTGTCTAGACGAATGTGCGCGGCGCTGATGCGAGACCTACGCTGAGAACGACCTGTGCTCCGTCCACGTAGGTATTTGTAGTTTTTAGTACGAATGGGCGCGGCGCTGAGGTGCGACCCACATGCTGAAAACGACTTGTGCTCCATACTTGGAGCCCTTGGAACATCTTACAGCGCAAGTGCGCGGCGCGGAGGTGACAGCCACATTTTGAGACTGATCCCTCATGGACACCCGTGTAGTTTTTGACAGTGTCAAGTTCCAGGGTATACACGTTGAGAGAGTCTCAGGTGGCGGAACGCCTGGCCCGCCTCACCGACAGGTCTGGGGGTGCGGGACCGTCTCCCCGCCTCCCCACCCCTTCCCGCGCGTCCTTCCTCCCCCCACCCTTCCTGGGACGGTCTTGGACCCGGCGCGGCTCAGGTGCCCCGACGACCCCCGCCGCCCCCCCAGCCCCCGGCGCCCTCGCCCGCCAGCGGCTCTCGTCGAGCGCGCCTCGCCATGGCCCGCGGAGCGACGCCCCGCCTCGGCGGCCTCCTGGCGTGCGCCTGCCTGCTGCTCTGCGCGCGCCGCGCGCCGCTCCCGGGGTGCTTCTGCGGGCCCTGGGCGGCCGCGGGCCCGCCCCTGCGCGCCGTCGCCATGCGCGGCATGCCGACCATGGGCACCGCCCCCGACGGCAAGGAGACCCTGCTGGAGAGGGAGGCGAGGCGCCAGGCGGCGGTGGAGGCGGAGATCGCCGCCGAGGCCGCGGCGCCGACGGTGGAGGCGGACAAGCTCCTGAACTTCGGCAGCTCCATCACCGGCCTGCTGAAGCCCCTCCTGCAGGCGCAGGCGAAGTTCGCCGCCGGGGACTACGACCGGGACCAGGTCCGCGCGGCCATCGAGGCGGAGACGAGGTCGGCGCCCGTCGTGGTGTACACCCTGTCGCAGTCCCCCTTCTCGATCGAGGCCAAGCGCCTGCTGGACGAGTCGAAGGTCGACTACAGGGAGATCGAGCTGGCGCCCCTGTTCTTCCTGGCGGACGGGGAGAACGCCGCCAAGCGCGCGGAGCTCGGGGCGATGACGGACCGCACGAGCATGCCCCACATCTTCATCAACGGGCAGAGCATCGGCGGGGTCTACGACGGGACGCCCGGGCTCGCCACGCTCGTGGAGTCCGGGGAGCTGAAGACGATGGTGGGCGGGGGCCGAGATGGGGGCCCCCTCCGTGTCAGGGAGGCGCCCCTCCTCCTCCTCCTCCTCCTCCTCCGCCTCCGCCTCCTCCTCCTCCTCCTCCTCCTCCTCCTCCTCCTCTCACTCCCCCCCTCCTTCCCCTCATCCTCCCCCTCCCCCTCCTCCCCCACCTCCTCCTCTTACGCCCCCGGCACAGCAACATGATAGGAGGGGTACTGTCCATTCTCCCCTGAACCTGTGCCGTCGTGGCCCGGTCTGTCCCGCCTATGGTGCTGCGCACTCAGTTGTTCTGGATCTGTCCTTCGGAGTTTTTTTTTGTTTCCCACCCCCCATCGGATCATTTTTACCTAACAGCGAAGACTGATAGGTTTCTAGTAGGGTCAAAAGAGAGCATCATGACTCCCGAGGGGGGTCTGGGCGGGATCTGGACAGGGTGCCCCGGGAAACCCCTGGGAAACCGGGGATTTTGTTTAGCCAACAGTAACGCACTTCGTGGTCTTCGAGTTCCCAGAGCTCCATTCCTGGGCATGATTTTGAATGCCTGGAGCCAACTGTAGGCCACTTCGTATTCTTCGAGTTCCCAGAACTCCATTCTTGGGCATGATTTTGAATGCCATAAGCCAACTGTAGGCCACTTCGTGGTCTTCGAGTTCCCAGAACTCCATTCCTGGGCATGATTTTGAATGCCTGGAGCCAACTGTAGGTCACTTCGTGGTCTTCGAATTCCCAGAACTCCATTCGTGGGCATGATTTTGAATGCCCGGAGCCAACTGCAGGAGGCCACTTCGTGTTCTTCGAGTTCCCAGAACTCCATTCCCGGGCCACATTTTGAATGCTGAGGCAGGCTGATGCTGAGGCTGAGGCAGGCTGAGGCTGAGGCTGAGGCTGAGGCCTGAGGCTGAGGCTGAGGCCGAGGCTGAAGGCTGAGGCTGAGGCTGAAGCAGGCTGAGGCTGAGGCTGAGGCAGGCTGAGGCTGAGGCTGAGGCAGGCTGAGGCTGATGCAGGTGAGGCAGGCTGAGGCTGAGGCTGAGGCTGATGCAGGCTGAGGCTGAGGCAGGCTGAGGCTGAGGCCGAGGCTGAAGGCAGACTGAGGCTGAGGCTGAAGCAGGCTGAGGCTGAGGCTGAGGCAGGCTGAGGCTGAGGCTGAGACAGGCTGATGCTGAGGCAGGCTGAGGCTGAGGCTGAGGCTGATGCAGGCCGAGGCTGAGGCAGGCAGGCTGAGGCCGAGGCTGAGGCTGAGGCTGAAGCAGGCTGAGGCTGAGGCTGAGGCATGCAGGCTGAGGCTGAGGCTGAGGCAGGCTGATGCTGAGGCAGGCTGAGGCTGAGGCTGAGGCTGATGCAGGCTGAGGCTGAGGCAGGCTGAGGCTGAGGCCGAGGCTGAAGGCAGACTGAGGCTGAGGCTGAAGCAGGCTGAGGCTGAGGCTGAGGCTGATGCAGGCTGAGGCTGAGGCAGGCTGATGCTGAGGCAGGCTGAGGCTGAGGCTGAGGCTGAGGCAGGCTGAGGCAGGCTGAGGCTGAGGCAGGCGGAGGCTGAGGCCGAGGCTGAAGGCAGACTGAGGCTGAGGCTGAAGCAGGCTGAGGCTGAGGCTGAGGCAGGCTGAGGCTGAGGCTGAGGCAGGCTGAGGCTGATGCTGAGGCAGGCTGAGGCTGAGGCTGAGGCTGATGCAGGCTGAGGCTGAGGCAGGCTGAGGCTGAGGCCGAGGCTGAAGGCAGACTGAGGCTGAGGCTGAAGCAGGCTGAGGCTGAGGCTGAGGCAGGCTGAGGCTGAGGCTGAGGCTGAGGCTGAGGCTGATGCTGAGGCAGGCTGAGGCTGAGGCTGAGGCTGATGCTGAGGCTGAGGCTGAGGCTGAGGCTGAGGCTGAGGCTGAGGCTGAGGCTGAGGCAGGCTGAGACTGAGGCTGAGGCTGAGGCAGCAGGCTGAGGCTGAGGCTGAGGCAGGCTGAGGCTGAGGCTGAGGCTGAGGCAGGCTGATGCTGAGGCAGGCTGAGGCTAAGGCTGAGGCTGAGGCAGGCTGAGGCTGAAGCAGGCTGAGGCTGAGGCCGAGGCTGAAGGCATACTGAGGCTGAGGCTGAAGGCAGGCTGAGGCTGAGGCTGAGGCAGGCTGAGGCTGAGACTGAGACAGGCTGATGCTGAGGCAGGCTGAGGCTGAGGCTGAGGCTGATGCAGGGTGAGGCTGAGGCAGGCTGAGGCTGAGGCCGAGTCTGAAGGCATATTGAGGCTGAGGCTGAAGCAGGCTGAGGCTGAGGCAGAGGCAGACTGAGGCTGAGGCTGAGGCAGGCTGATGCTGAGGCAGGCTGAGGCTGAGGCTGAGGCTGAGGCAGGCTGAGCTGAGGCAGGCTGAGGCTGAGGAGGCTGAAGGCAGACTGAGGCTGAGGCTGAAGCAGGCTGAGGCTGAGGCTGAGGCAGGCTGAGGCTGAGGCTGAGGCAAGCTGAGGCAGGCGGCTGAGGCTGAGGCTGATGCAGGCGAGGCTGAGGGCAGGAGGCAGGCTGAATGCAGCTGAGGCTGAGGCTGAAGCAGGCTGATGAGGCTGAGGCAGGCTGAGGCTGAGGCTGAGGCAGGCTGAGGCTGAGGCAGGCTGAGGCACTGAGGCTGAGGCTGAAGCAGGCTGAGGCTGAGGCTGAGGAGGCTGAGGCAGGCTGAGGCTGAGGCTGAGGCAGGCTGATGCTGAGGCAGGCTGAGGCTGAGGCTGAGGCTGATGCAGGCTGAGGCTGAGGCAGGCTGAGGCTGAGGCCGAGGCTGAAGGCAGACTGAGGCTGAGGCTGAAGCAGGCTGAGGCTGAGGCTGAGGCAGGCTGAGGCTGAGGCTGAGGCTGAGGCTGATGATGCTGAGGCAGGCTGAGGCTGAGGCTGAGGCTGATGCAGGCTGAGGCTGAGGCAGGCTGAGGCTGAGGCCGAGGCTGAAGGCAGACTGAGGCTGAGGCTGAAGCAGGCTGAGGCTGAGGCTGAGGCAGGCTGAGGCTGAGGCTGAGGCAGGCTGATGCTGAGGCAGGCTGAGGCTGAGGCTGAGGCTGATGCAGGCTGAGGCTGAGGCAGGCTGAGGCTGAGGCCGAGGCTGAATGGCAGACTGATGCTGAGGCTGAAGCAGGCTGAGGCTGAGGCTGAGCAGGCTGAGGCTGAGGCTGGCTGAGGCTGAGGCTGAGGCAGGCTGAGGCTGAGGCTGTGACTGCGACTGCCGTTGCCACTGCGACTGCCATCGCGAGTGCGACTACGACTGCGAGAACAGCAGAATTCTACAACTTGATTCTCATCTGAATCTTAAGGGGAATGCTTCCAGGTATGCTCCTACACATCGCTGTTAGGTTGCTTTGCCGTGATAATTTTTGAAATGCTGATGTATTCCTCTTCCTATATTTATGCAAGCCCGGGCGGGCTCCCCCCCCAAAACCGGACTCCCGGGATCTGGGGCTTTGGGACCCTCCGGACGGGCCTCGAAGCGGCCCCCCGGGCCTCGCAGGCCGTTTTGCCAAGCCTTCCCAGCACACCTAGGGCGATCAGGAAAGCTATCGGAGACGTCCAGGAGACGCCCAAGACAGCACAAGGGCGCTCCAAGAGTGACCGACGTGACCTCAAGATGGCCCAAGAGGGGACGGCCCCAAAGAGGCCTCCAAGAGCACTCCCAAGAAGGCCCCAAGAGGCACAATTCATTGATTTTCTGATGGTTTTTGGAAAATTTTGGGGTTCTCTTCTTTTCGGCTTCCCGACGCTCCAAGACGGCGGTCTTCTGGGCGTCCGAAGCCGCCTGGGGGGCTCAAAAATCGCCCCACAACCATCCGAAAGGGCTTCCAGGCAGTCCAAGAGAGCCCCAAAACGGCACAACACGGATCCAAGATGGCCCTCAGAGGGCCCCATGGCGGCCCAAGATGGCCCCAAGACACCCTCCGAAGCATTCCAAATCGTGACCCGGTCGTTCCAGGAGACCGCGGTTGGAGGCAGGGTGGCCCGAGGAAGCCCCCAGAGGCCCCCAGAATACGCCCAGGAGGCCTCCAGAAGGCCTTAAGAAAGCCTGAAACAGCTTTTGTGAGGCCCCCAGAGGCTCTCCAAGGAGGAGCCTCCGCAAAAAAGAGCTGAGAAGGATGGGAATAATGCGCAGGGTATGGCGAACATGAGGATAACGAAGCATGGAGGAAGGATAACGAATAACATGATTATAGCGGCGATGCCGGAAAAGGCAACAATGAATCATCGCTAGATTGTCGGCTTGACCTTTCTGCTATTCCGCCTGCATGCCAATTTTCAAGGACCAAGGTGCATGGCGCGAAGCGCAACTGCAGTCTTGCATGTGTGTATATATATATATATATATATGCATATGGGCAGCCCTCCCCCCCCAGCGACCCTCCTACCCCAGCCAGTCGCCGCGTTCTCTCTCTCTCTCTGTTTCGCTCCTCTCCTTCTCCTCTCCTCCTCCTCCTCGTCCTCCTCCTCCTTCTCTTCCTCCTCCTCCTCCTCCTCCTCCTGCTCCTCATCCTTCGTCAGGAAGGCTTGCAGGAGGAGCGTGGCCACCAGACCATGCTATTCACATTTTTGTTTGTTTGTTTTTTTGGTCTGGGATACCATCAAACACTGCTAATCACAGTTTTTTAGGCTTCTGTTTTTGATGTTTTGGTTTGCAGGAGTTCCACAAACTTGGTCAGAACCTGCTCATGCATGTGGAGCTTTTGAGAACTGACAAAAGCAAAACCTGTGAATAGCAGTGTTTGGTGGTATCTTGGACCAACACACAAAAATACGGTGAATAGTATGGTTTGGTTGCTCGTGCTCCTCCTCCTCCTGCTCCTCCTCCTCCTCCTCCTCCTCCTCCTCCTCCTCCTCCTCCCCTTCTTCTCCTCATCCTCCCTATCCCCCTCCTCCCCACCTCCTCCCTCCCCCCCCTCCTCCCCCTCATCCTCCCTCTCTCCCTCCTCCCCCACCTCCTCCTCTTCCGCCTCCTACACAGCAACATGATCGGAGGGGTACTGTCCATTCTCCCCTGAACCTGTGCCGTCGTGGCCCGGCCTCTCCCGCGTATGGTATTGCGCACTCAGTTGTTCGATAGCCGTCCTTCTGAATTTTTGTTTGTTTGTTTTGTGTTGTTTTGTTTTCTCCCCCTCGGAGCTTTTGATTTCGGGGTGTCGTTTTAATGCTTCTCTGCATATAGGTGCGTATGTGCTAATCGATCTATTTTCGTGTATATTATTTTTTTTGTTCTTTTAGTTATATTTGTTTGGAAACATGTGGTCCCGCTGCAGCGTGGGCCTCATTTCAGGGTCGGCGCCGTGCTCCCGTCGTTCAGAATGGCATGGGTCCGATTCTTTTTGCGTTGTCGTCGCCCCCCTTCTATCCTCTTTCCCTATTTCCCTCGTGCTCCTGCCCCTCTCGCCCCTCCTGCTCCTCCTCATGCTGTTGCTGCTCCTCCTCCTTCCTGCTCCTCCTCTCCTTCCTGCTCATTCTCTTGCTCATTCGCCACCGCCCCCTCCTCCTCCTTCTCCTCCTCCTGTTGCGGTCGCTGAAGGCATTCGATCTAGATGCGGAGCTGCCCCCCTCTCCTCCTTCTCCTCCTACTCCTCCTCCTCCTCCTCCTCCTTCCCCTCCCGCTCCTTCAAGCTAATCAGCCCTTCTGTCTGATTGCGTATCACAAGATGGGGTCACTTGAGGGTCCAGGTCCGCTAGCATACCCTTCAGCATATTTTTCAATATCCACTTTGCCTGCGGCAAACTCCGCCACCGTGCCTGTGCAACAGCGCTGCAGGAATGAAATTGAGTACAGGAACAGCGCAATTCCGACGACTGGTCTGAACTCGGACGGATCGTGAACTCGACTTCGTTTTCAGTAGGCAATGGGAAGAGTTTTTGATGCTTCGCGTGTCCCCACCAGCGGTGGGCTGAAGGCAGGGCTGCTGCATGGTCAGGGGCATCTGGATCTGCAGCACCTTGGCGTACATGGCAGTCCTGGGACGCGTGGGACCATCAGCAGGATACATGGACCGACACTGACTGGAAGGCGAAGGGGAAGCGGTTTCCCCCCAGAGGTGAAACCCACTACGCAGACAAGCGTCCGCGGGGATGGGACTTCCGCCCCAAGTGATCGAGGTACAATTTTGCCTGCTCGCTTCGTGCCCACCCCCTCCCCGCGCTCGGGGGACTGCGGCCCGCCCTGACACGGGCCTCTCACTGTGCTGGCTTCCCGCTTCCCCCCCCCGCCCGCCCTTTCCATCTCCCTCCCCTGCTTCTCGTGGAGGATGGTCCGCGCAGCCTGTCTGTGGCTCGAATCCATCTCTGGTCCACCGGAACATGCCAATTCTCAGAGTTGCGACTCGTCCCGTCATGGAACGCAACGCGTGCTTCCTGGACAACAATGATCTTGGGCAGCTGGGAACAACCACCCCCTCCCTATACAAGGTGGTCTCTATCGCGCTGACCCTGTGGGCCATCTGGGATCCCGCAGCGCCTGGCGGAGCCCGCTGGGTTGGCAGCCACATGGTCCTCAACCGGCACTTTGCCTCGAACAGCGACGCAGGGCTTGGAGACTGAAGTCAATGGGGAGTGTCAGCCACCCCACGGTCAAGCTTCCTTCGTGGTTGCTCCTGGCCACGACGTGGGCAGTATTCATCGCAGCGCCAGGCCTTGGCCTTAATACCCCCGTGCTACCTCTTTTGGGTCAGAGGTGCACCAATACCCATGCGCTGCGTACTAGACAGCCCGCGCTGGTCTCGTGTCTCCATCCTGGACAGTGGGCCAGGTGGCTGAAATAATCCACCCCCCCGCGTCCCACCATAGACCTGACTACCCCGCGGGACAGGGGGCCGTCAATGTCGCCCCTCAGGGGCACCTACTTTGGATGACTGGGAATGGTGGCCAGCGGCCCACCTCCAGCGCTCCACCTTACGTTACCATTCATCAGTTTGTGCGGCTCTTGGCTGCGCCCCCGACCAAGTGTGCCCTGGCTGGGAACTGGACAGTGCGACGGGCCATCCCAAGATTGGAGGCCTTGGACCATTCACCAGTTTGTGCGGCTCTTGGTTGCGCCCCCCACTAAGTGTGCCCTTGTTGGGAACGGGGCAATGCGACGGACCATCCCAAGTTTGGAGGCCTTGGTCACGTCCGTCGTGCCACGACACGTGGTGGCACACCTCACGTACATTCTCCAGTCTGTGCTGCTCTTAGAAAGTGACAGCACAGTCCTCCGCCAGTGGACTGGCGTGTAGTTCCCCCCCCGCGGTCACTGAAAACCCCCCACAGGGAGCGGTGGAGGGATCACAGAGGTGACTCCGACCGCTCAGCATCGACAGTGAGGGCCGCCTCTTCCTCCTCCTCCTCCTCCTCCTCCTCCTCCAATTCACCAGTTTGTGCGGCTCTTGGCTGCGTCTCCCCTCCTCCTCCTCCTTCCGCGCTGGTACGGCGTTCAGCGTTGCTCGGATTCCCCTCTACCCTAATGAAGATTCACCTGTTACTGCGGCTCTTGGCTGCGCCCCCGTACAGAGTCTGATGCCGAGGAGCGACACTGACATCAATAGGCGTCCAGAAGGCTCCCTGGAAAGGCTCCGAGGAGCATACTGACAGCAGAGGCTGCCAAGGAGTGATCCGGACAGCGGTGGGCAGCGACAGTGTGACCCCGCAGATACGGGCTCCTCCAGCCCCTGCGACAGTGCGCGGATCGCCCGCGAGGACATGGCATGGTTCGCGGCGATCCAGGTGCTGGGCTTCGGCAAGGTGCAGACCAGCGCGCCTCACCGCTTCTGATACCACCTGAGGCCGGGCCTGGGGTGGGCGTGTTCCTGCGCAAGTGGTTCATCCTTTGGCAGGTCACCGCGGATCCCCCGGCAGGTCCGTCCTTGTTGCCTCGGTTTACGCTCGCGACTTTGTGCCCCCGTCCCTTGTGACGGATAAGTTGCTCGCGTTGTACGCCGGCGACGTCGACGACTGGGTTCTCACGGTGGGCGTCGCTTTCGCGTTCTTGCTACTGCACAAGTGGTTTATCCTTTGGCAGATCACCACGGTCCTCCCGCAGGGTGGACCAGGGGACTCGACCAGTGCTTGCAGCTTTATTCCCCCGACTTTCAGTGTCAGGCAAGTTGCAGGCTGTGGACTCAGAAGACATGGCCGCCGGTTTCTTGACTAGGGACTGGTCGCTCTCATGCCCAAGAGCGTCCTTTCAGTCACTGTGAGTGAGGCTTCCATCTGTGCCCCCCCCTTCTCCTGCCGCAGCGTGCCCTTGTGCCCGCCGTGTCTCTCCTGTTCCTTGGCCTCCTTTTCGTTTCATGGACGGTGCGGCCACCCCGGCCACTCCGTGCCGCCACAGCGCGGCGTGCTCCTCGCCCTTTCGCGGTGTTCGGTACGGTCAGAGCTTGGCGCCACGTGTGCGACCGCTCCATCCGTCCGTTTCCAGTTCTGTGCTTGCGTTCCCCGATTTGGGGCCGCCAGCGTCCTAATGAGGGTCATTTTGTCCCTGGCACGTGCACCCGCTACAGCGGCCTATGCGCCTCTGCAGCTAATTATCTCGCCCTGTGCCCCAGTCGAGTCCGTCCCGCTTCTTGGATCTGTTCTTGTGAGCCGCCGATCCAAAAATATCCCCACCAACCACCAGCCCTGATCAGGGAAGGGGCGGGAGCAACTGTCGCATGTAACGTGTCGGACATTGGCCACGCGCGGAAGCAGTTACATGTGACATGTCGCGCGTGGGTCGCACGCGGACGCCGTCACATGTGACATGTCAGGCGTGGATCGCACGCGGAAGCCGTCACATGTGACATGTCGCGCGCGGGTTACATGCGGAAACCGTCACATCGGACATGTCGGGCGTGGATCACACGCGGAGACCGTCACACGGGACATGTCGGGCGTGGATTGCACGCGGAGGCCGTATCTTGTGACATGCCAGACGTTGGTCACGCGCGGGAGCCATCACATGTGACATGCCGGGCGTGGGTCACACGTTGAAACCGTCACATGTGATATGTCGGATGGCGGTCACACGCGGAAGCCGTCACATCTGACATGGGGGCGTGGGTCACACGCAGAAGCCGTCACATGGGATATGTCGCATGGCGATCACGCGCGGAAGCCGCCTCATGGGACATGTCGAGCGTGGGTCACACGTGGGAGCCTTCACATGTGACATGCCAGACGTCGTGTCTGTCTTTGAAACTGTCTTGGAGGCCATGCTGGCCGTCTGGAGTCCGAGAAGACCGCCAGAAAGCAAGGTCAGACCGGGCGATTTTCAGTGGACGCGCGCCCGCCAAGGGTGGGGGTGGGGGGGGGACTGGCCCTGGAAAACTTCAAATTCCTCCCAAACAACGGCGATGACGACGACGACGACAACGACGACGACGACAACGACGACGACGGCGAG